AAGGGGGGGGGGGGGGAGGGGGAGTCGAGCCATGCGGCCGGGGAGGAGGCAAGAGGAGGCAAGTGAGCGGAGACGAGGCGGACGGGGGCGTCAGTACTGGATCAAAGGGGGAGGAGGCTTCACGGGAGTGCGTGCATGCTGCATGACGGGCGGAGGCCGTCTCAAGTGACAGGGGCAGAGGACGAGGGAGCGAGGCTGCTCAGAGGCGAGGCCACAGGACGTGCGGGGATGGGTACAAGAGAAGAAAGCGGCATGAGCCCGAGACGAGATCAGAAGCAGGACTCTAAGCGGGAGGAGGGCCGCCTAGATGGAGCCGTGCTTGCTGCAAGGCAGATCAGACTGAGCATGAGCGGGTTGATGCTCGTCGCTGGCACAGTGGCAAGGACGGCTGCAGCTCTTAGCAAGCGAGCGAGTAAGAGCACAACCAGCGGACGACTCCAAGCCTTGGCTGGAAGGGGCGACCACACAGAGGAGCAACAGTGAGGTCGAGACGATAGGCAGACAGGAGGAGGGGTCGGGCGAGGAGGGGATTTGAGCTGATTTGTGCAGATTGTATGTACACAACATTACAATGGCGCGACTTGTGCATCCAACTCTATCGTGTTTGATTACTTTCACAGTGACTCTTGTTCTTCGCCTGCCAAGTACCACTCGAGCCAGTTCGCATCGATCGATTGCGAGGACTCAGCGGCTGACTCCCGCGACCCTGACCCTGACTCGCCCCGGCTTTGCGAGCTGCTCTTCCCGTCGGCTCCCGGCCTGGGAGGGGTCCTGCTGCTTGACGACATGTATGTGCTGCTCCCCTCCGCTCCGCTCGGGTGTGCCATGGCGGCCTGAGCTTCTTGCGAGCTTGACGATGACCCAGGAGGGTCTGCGTGTGCGTTCTGCTGGTCGGGCAGCCTGCTGCTGCTACTCGTCGCTCCCGCTTCCTCGTCTAGCCCGTTTTCATCGCTTGGGCTCCCGCCGTCGCCGCTCATGCTGTCGCCATTGCCGCTGCCGCCGCTCATGTGGCGAGAGTAGTCCCCCGCTCGCTCGTTCCTCAGGCGAGCGTAGGGCCATCGCTGTATGCCGAGCATACGACAGGCCTTCTTGAGGCTCGTCAAGGAGATGCCCTGCGACACTCATTGAGCGCAAGCGCATGCAGTCGCTGGGGCGACCATGAGCTCACCAGAAACTTGGCGGCGTCCTCCTGTCGCATGTGGAACAGCGGCTCGATGATGGTGAGGTCGAGCTGCACGTCGTACACTCTTGCCCCGTCACCTGCTCGCTTGGGAGTGACGGTCACAGACTCTGCGCGCTTGGGGTGGTCGCTCATCGCTCTACCCTCGACGGCTCGACGTGCGCGCACCTGAGACAAGCATGGCCCTGTGGCCCTCCCTCCGTCTTCCTCTCTCTCTCTCCCGTCTCCTTCACGCTTCTCCTCGGTTACTCTTTGACCTCGGCAAAGCGCTCAGTTGGCGTATTACCGTCTGTCGCGAAACGTTGACTTCCCCCTGCTCCTCCTGCTCCTCGTTCGCCCTGCGTCTCCCCTGGCCCTGGCCATTCTCCCGCCAAGCCGTGTCCCTTTTTTTAATCTTTTTTAGTCTTTCTTTCTTTGATCTTTTTTGCTTCTTTTTTTTACCCCTACGCGGGGGAAACTGAGGGTGGGGGTGGCGAAGCGCCTGGGGGTAGACGAGCATCGAAGGGGGTCGGGGTGGAGGGACGAGGGAGGGACGGGAGTGGTGGTGGAGAGATCATAAAGCTTTGGGGTAGGGGGTGAGAGTCAGGGTCGGGGAGGACGGAGAAGAGCAGTCAGAGAGGGGGTAGGGGTGAGTAGAGGGGTAGGCAGGTGTTGGAGAGAGGAGGGCGAAGGGGTGGGTGGAGGGTCGGGAGGACCCGATCTGCATGCCCATCTCAGCGCTCAGGGCGGCAAGCAAGGTGTTGAGGAAATGCCCGACGAATGTGTTGATTTGCCGGGAGTTAGCTTTTGTGAGCGTGGTGGAAGAGGAGCGCAGATCATACGAAGCAGTGGCACTTGGTCTGAGGGACAGCATTCACTGCAGCTGATAGAAATAGCGGATGGCTACAACGGACTGAGCGAGGCTCTGTTCGAAGAGATGTAAGGCTGGGTAGAAAAAGTTTACTCGACACACCCTCTGCTCCTTTCCTACATCACGACGCTTCAAGCAACTGCTGTCCCAGGCTTCACCAGCAGGCGTCTGCACTGCAATGCTTGAATGAACACAAAAATCTCCCCCTCTAAATTCTGCAACCCTTGCTTGCCGCCCTGAGCGCTGAGATGGGCATGCAGATCGGGTCCTGCCGACCCTCCACCCACCCCTTCGCCCTCCTCTCTCCAACATCTGCCTACCCCTCTACTCACCCCTACCCCCTCTCTGACTGCTCTTCTCCCGCGGGGGGGGATTTTTTACTCCCCCCCTTGGGGGGGGTGAAAGATAAAAAACCTCCCCCCCCCCCGTGTCGCGTCGGTCCCTTGACCAGGGAGGGGGGTGTGGGGG